CCTCATGGCCCACACACAGAAGAAAATTACCACCTTGGACTCAGAACTGGGGACCCATAAAGGCCCTCAGCAGGTAAAAATGCTTTTTGTCGTCGATGGGAAACCACACTGCGTGGGTAGTCAACTTCTGAAAAGATGTGGAAGCTTCTGGTCACCAGCTCTGCTCCTTGGCTCTATGACTGACTGAGATGCTGACAACATAATGCCCTTTCCCAGGTCTGTTCCTGAAGTGGGAACCTCACAGCACTTCTAGAGCCTCCAGAGCCTCCAGTGTCTTCGAGGAGTAACCAAGGCCCTGCCTGCAGGAACATGCTTGCTACCTGCACTGCAGGGCAGACAGTACTTCCTAGGGGCTTGAGGCCTGGCAGACAAAAGGCAAGCGCAGTAAGGGTGGCCTCCCCAGCAAGGTCCCTTCTCTCCAGAGACAGCCACTCTTGGCCAGGATGGGGGAAGCAGGAGGGAAGTTCCTCAAGAAAGTGCTGCTCAGCCCCAGGGAAACCCCATCCACTACTGGAAACTGAGCACACAAAGGTTAAAGAATGCTATGAATGTCAAAATGAAAACATTGATTGTAATGAAGACACTGCTGGGAGTCCTCTTCAGAGCCTCCCCTTGTTTTGAGCACTCCTGTTCCATCATCCTGGCCACTTCCTGCAGCAGCTCTGAAGTCCCCTTCTTTTATGTGATACCGCTGCCAAACACTGTCCTAAGGAGACGGCTTCTAAAGACACCTGCTGGGGCTGGTCCTCGTGGGCGTGGGTGTAATCACAGTGTGTCACTGCTGGGTCTTCCCGGGGTCCAAAATGACCATGAAGAGTAAGCTCTGAACAGATTCGGGACATCAAGGCAGCCGTGATGGGGAAACTAAAGACACTCGGGAGAGCACTCCAGAGCTGCTGCAGGAAGTGGTGAGGATGGCTGGATGAGTGTAACTGAGATGAGGAGGGAGACTCACAGCCATGTGCCTCTCACTGTAACACATTTTTAAAATGAAATGAGCCTTTTGTCCAATCCCTCCTATGTGCTATGCAGTTAACACTCACTGTGCTTGGGTAATTACCTTCACTTCCCTAAGTATCTTAGTTTGGGCAAAAGACTGTGGGGCCAAGGTACTGTTAGTGCAAGGCCCCACGTGCCAAGGTAAGCAGGCTGGCACACCACCCACACACACACATCCCCCGCTCCAGGGCTTATGCAAGTCTGGAAGCTCCCTGACTCCCAAGCATGAGACATCCTGTCCAAGCCTCAGCCAGCAGGTCACAGGGTCATGGAGCACTGGCCCCACCCACTCCTGCAGTCCCAGGACACAGCACCTGATTCTCTCAGGCCTCTCCACTGCCTCGGTGGTATCAGTCATCATCTCCCACCATCCTAGCCAGCAGATAACCTTCAGCACACCGCAGAGCCACTGGCCTGGTCATGTTAGCAGTCAAGCACACCCAGCCACCCACAGCCTGAAGGAGACATCAAAGCTGCCAAAGACCCTTCAGTCCTGCACACAGCTTCTCTTATACTGCCACGGGAAACTGAGGTTTGAGTGAAGCTCGTGGGCAGGCCCTGCACAGGTGTGACTGAGCTGGAGGCGTACTGTAGATAAATCAACTCCAGCTGTGAAGACATACAACTGTCTGGGTGATTCATCATGCTACAAAACCTGGGTGATAGCTTTTTCATCTGTGTATCGTAAAGGTCAGACTTGGTCCCTAACCCTTACAGGCCTAAATTAAAAATTTGAAAGTAAAGCCAGGCATAGTGGCTGGTGCAGGAGGCTGAGGCAGGAGGACTACAAATTCAAGGCCAGTCTGGGCAACTTGGTGAGATCCTGTCTCCAAATAAAACATTTTATCTTAGTATTGTGGTGCTAGCCTAGCATGCCTTAGGTCTTGGGGTTTCATTCCCAGTACTGCAAAAACAAAACAAAACAAAATTAGAAAATATGACCTAACTGCAGAGAAGTTCAGGTACCTAAAGACTGAAGAGCTCAGCAAGTCCTAGCCATTTTACTAATACATTAAAACACCAAAAGCAGAAGCTGGACACAGGGATGCATCTCGGTAATCTGAACACTTTGGAGGAGCCAGGACTGCTGCAAATTGGAGATCAGGGTGGGTTCCATAGTGAGTTCAAGGCCAGTTTGAACTACACAGGCAGACCCCCAACCCAAACTAACCAACCAAACACCAAATGCAATCTGTGACCACCATTAGCAACAGGAAAAGCTTCCTTTATCAAGGCTCTGCCATGGCAGAGAATTAAACTTGAATTTTTAGCCATGCAAATTATAGCAGGAAATAACAGCATGGAAATTATGGCAGAAGCCAGGGATTTAGCTCAGCTGCACAAGCCCCTGCCTGGCAAGGGTGAGGTTGTGAGTTCCATCTCCGTACAAAAGATAAAAAGAAACCGTGGCAGAAACTAACACCTGCTACTGCTAGCCAGACATGGTGGCACATGTCTGTATCCCCAGCTGCTGGGGAAGCTGAGGCAGGAGAAGTGCAACTTTGTGAGACACTGACTCAAAAATTTAAAAAAGTTTAAGAGGGCCAGGAATGTAGCGCAGTGTGAAGGCCCCGGGTTCAAACCCCAGTGCTAGTGTCTGTTAAGATCTAGGGCTGGTAGCTATGAAGCCTCACCAGCTGGTGAGGGGCACAGCTGATGTGGTCACAAAAGAGCACTCTGAAACACTTAGCGGGGCAGAGACATGTAGCAGGTGCTTCTGCTTTTGCTTCTCCTTTTGCCCAGGAGAAACCCTTGTGGAACCTGGGAGCTGAAAAGGTTTTCACTGTCTCACTGTGAGCAGTAACAGAGGAGGGAGAGAGAAATAGCCTGACTTGACTGACACAGAACACTGACAATAAATGAACTGAGCTGGACAGGCTGTGCACGCCTATCATCCCAGAATGTGGGAGACTGAGGGAAGAGGACCCCAAATTTGATACTGGCCTGGGCTTCACAGCAAGTTCAGGGTCAGCCTGGTCACTGTGCGGAGACCCTATCTCAAAAGCCAACAGGGCTGAGGATATAGCTCAGTGGCACAGTGTCTGCCTGGCAAATGCAAGGTCATGAGTTTGATTCCTGGTACAAAAACAAAAAACATACAAAAAAAAAAAAAAAAAAGCTGGGTATGCTGGTACATGCCTATAACCCCAAGCCTTCTGGAAAGCTTGAGTCAGGAAGACTGCAAGTGCAAGTCCAGCTCTGGCAATTTAGCAAACCTTGTCTCAGAAAAATTAATGAAGGTCAACATCTTTAATCAGCATTGCTCACCGACAACACAGAACTTTCAAATACAAAACAAGCACGAGAGGACTGTGAGGCAACACAACCTCCCTGTGAAAGCTGAGGCACAGGTATGGGAGGTCAGCTGAAGAGAGAAGCAGAGACCAGGATTCCTGCTGTCCGTGGAGAACCCAGCGGGGCCTCGGATCTGCAAAGGGGGCTGCGAGCTGGAGCTAAGAGTGAGAGAGCTGCTTCAAATTGGGCTAGGTGCAGACTCAGTGGCAGACCACAGGCTGGGCATGCACAAGGCCCAGATTCCAACCCCAGCACCAAAATGCAAGACACACAGTGAGCTTTCATCTCTCTATCCCCTACTACCTTCTACCCAGGGCAGAACATACACCACCACTAGGGCTGGACCCACGTGGCCAACAGCCTTCACACTCTCTGCAGGGCCTGGCGAGTATGTGTGTCTGTGAGAGGTGACAGGCCCAGATATATGGGGACACACACACCTCCCAAAGAGGCATCTTACTGTCAGCCCTACCCCGGCCACACCAGGGGCAGGACGGGGCCTGATTCTGATCCTGTCCTTGCGGCTTGCTGGTGCATGCACGATCTCGGGCTCCCCCACACAAAAGATGCACTGCGAAAGAATGAAGTGGTGGAAACGAAAACTCCACCTCCCACAGTGTACCCCCACCTGCTTTATGATAGGTTTCCACAGCCCACGGTGGCAGACCAGCCCCGGCCCTGGCTCCTTCCCTCCGATTTCTGCCTGTATTATAGACGCCTCTGCCCACAGCCAGCCAGCCAGTCAGGTGTTGCAGCAGCCCACGCCCCACAGCCAGCCGGTCCGCAGGCTGCGTTTGGAGCCCACATCAAGAGGAGCCCTGGGCCGAGTGGGAGTCGTCAAGCACTCCGCAGTAGGGACCCACACCCTCCTACGGGTAGAACCTCGGCTCTGGACACAGGGTGGAAGACACTGTCCTCCCTACGCCCTCCAGTCTCTAGGTCAGCATGACCAGTCATGGGAAGCTGTTCTCCGCAGGAGGACAGGAGAGCGGAGGCCAGCCCAGCACTCCGGAGGCTGAGACAGGAGGCTCGCAGAAAGTCCAAAGCCAGCCTGAACTCATGGAGAGACCCAGTCTTAAAAGAACTGAAATAAAACAAAACAAAAACAAAGAGGAAAGTCTTCAGCTTGTAATACCCCGCAGGACTCTTCATTTGCTAAAATAAATGCGTGGCCCGCTCCGTTTTCTCCCCTTTTTGTTTTTTGGGTCCCGACAACAGTTCATGCTGGACCTGACCACCTAGCGACCCCGGCCTGAGGGCCCTGGCGCGGGCACCAGGGGACTGGTTTCCTCAGGACTCTGAAAGTTTTGGGGCCTCCCTCCCCGCAGGCCAGGGCTCCTGCCCTGCCGGGACGGCCGGGGAGCCCGGGCGAATGAACCTCTCGGCGCCGCCCGGAAAGGGTCACGCCCAGGCCGCGGGACCCGGGCCGCTCCGATCCCGGCTGACGTCCCGCCCGCAGCCCCGACCGCGCGCCAGGCCTCCGCTCCTGGCGCCCCCGAGCCACCTAGCCGTCCTGCTTCCCGGGAACGGGGTCCTGGTTGCTGGGGTGCTGCGGTCCCTGTAATGGACCGGGGTCGCGGCACCAGGCCGCCCGTGCAAACGTCGCGAGGAGAAAGCTGAAGCGAATATGAAAGGAGGCCAGAGCGAGACAGCGATCGAGATGTCCGGCGGCCCCGCTCCGCATCGCCCCTCGCCCTTGCACTCACCGAGCAGCGCCAGAGCCTGGGCCGTGGCCACGAGGGCGCAGGGCCGAACCGAGCTGAGCCCAAGGAAGCCGAACGAGCCCAGCTGCCGGCCGCCCTATTTACCCGCGAGGCCCCGCCCACTAACACGTGACTGGAGCAGGCCCAACCATGCGTGACCCCGCCCTGCACGTGACCCGACAGGCCCCGCCTGTCCATCATGTGATCGCGGGTGAGCCCCCACGTGACTGTGAGTGCGGCGGCCAGCGCCCAGGCTTCCCAGGTCTCGTCGTTGCTTCTGTAACCCCGCTCCCTTCCAGGCCGCTGTCCTGCGCGGGGCCGAGCCGACTCCGTCTCGCTGCGGACCCCTGTTGGTCTCGTGGCGTGAATGTTGTGAGGACTCATTTCAGGGATCAGCAGCGAGGCCCCCGACCCCCGCGCGTGTGGCGCACCAGAGGGAAGGCAGGATGGCTGCTGCTCGCCGCGGTGGTCACGGAAGCTAGGACCGGTACACGGCTGGCTCAGAGCCCAGGTCCACCTGCCGCACCCTTGCTCTCAGCAGGGAGGCAACCCCGAGGGAGTTGGCTGCGCAAGAAAATGAGGCGCGGGGTTCACACACACACACACACACAAACACCCTCAGCTGCTGCATGGGCGAGAGGAGAGGGCGGCGGAGAGTGCGCCCCTGGCCTGGCTTGAACAGTTTAGCCAGATCCTGGCTCAAAATAATAAAAAAGCCGAGGTTGTAGCGCCTTACTCCTTAAATCCAGTTCTAAGCCAAGTCTGGTCTTACGGGTTTGTGACAATGAGAGGCCCAGGTAGGGGGTCCCTGGCGACCAACTGAAACCTGGAGGCTGTTTGGGGCCCTGCACAAGCTGTGCACGTGCTCCACCATATCCTCAGCCACAAACCCTGTCTTGTTTTGTTGTTCTGTTTTTTGAGACAGGGCTTTGCTTTGTGGCCCAGCCTGGCCTTGAGTTTGCAGTGATCCTCCTGTCTCAGCCTCCCAAGTGCTGGGATTACAGGTGTGCACCATTAGGCTGGCTTTCCTCCATTGGGGCCACCAATCTCCTGCTCAGAGGCAAAAGGACAGATGAAAACTTAGACAAAATAATGTATTTTGGTTACAAGGGGCACAGGATGGTCAAAGCTGGATGACAGGGTAGAACAGGAGGCACGGTGTCCTGGGTAAGGTGCACAGCTTGAATGGGGGTGTGCAGTCAAGGTTCAAGAATCAAAAAGTCGCTCACAAACAGATCTGGGTTAACTGGTAACCTGATCGTCCGCCAAGTGAATTACTGAGCCAGCGGGAATTTGCATGGGTCCAGTCTGCCCCTGCCCTGTTATCTTGCTCGGAGGCGCACCAGAGCCTTGCAGACTGTTTGCTGGTCTCAGCGATGGCCATTTGCTTAAAGATTAAGCTTTCCTGTGCCAATTGTGTGTCTCATCACAAGTCATGTCAGCCTTCACAGACCCTCTATTTTTGTGCCAATTCGTTAGTATTAGTTATTGCCCACTCTGTGCTGGGTCAAACTGTTCCTTGCCTTCTGCAGCAGATGTCTGGCCACCAGCAGGCATGCAGTCCTGGGCCTCTGAGGCCCTTCCGAGAGGGTCCCCTACCTGGGGCAGAAACGAGACGCATCCAAGAGGCAAGGCCAGGCCTGATGCCGTGAGGCTCCAACTTGCTGTGGCCTCCCATCCTGTTTATCCAAGCCCAGCCAGAGCCATCACTTCATCTGTGTGTCATTGTCCACTGGGTGTCAGGTTCTTGTGGTCCTCTGCAAGGTGGGGAGGGCCCAGGGAGCCATGGCAGGGCTCTGTTTTGACCACAGGCCTCGAAATGTGCTTTGTACACGCACTACCAGTGTCAGCAGAGAGGAAGAAATCACCTGACACTAGAAAACCAGGCGTGGTGGTGCACGTGGCCTGTAATCTTGGGAGGCTGAGGCAGGAGGATTGCTGCAAGTTGCAGGCCAGCCTGAACTACCTAGTGAGGTACTGTCTAAAGAAAAAAAAAAAAAAAACCCAAAGCACAAGGAAACTGTACCAGAGTAGAGGTTGGCCCTTCTTGGTACACCCTAGAAGCTTTGTGAGAAGGTAACGCCTGTATATTCTTGTCCCTGCTGCCCCCTTGTTCCTGTAGCCTCTCTTCTCTCCATCCCTCCCTCCATTTTTCCCCTTCCTGAACCCAGGGCTGACCCTGAGCTGCATCCTTGCCCTGTGTGTGTGAGACCCTGGCTGCCCGCTGAGTGTGCACAAAGGAGGCCAGGATGTACACCTGTGGCAGTGAGAAAACGTGTCCTCCCGTGAACTGCATTAGGTGACCAGAGCCACATTATTCACGATGGCTTAAAGGTGGAAGCCATCTGTGCTCATCAGCTAATGGGTGCATAAACAAAGTGTCACATAATCACAAAATGGGCTGTTACTCAGTGATAGAAAGGAAGGTCTTGCTACATGCTGCAACACGGGCAGACCTTGAGAATACTGTGTTGTAAAAGAAAAAAGGACCCACAGCAAATGTCCAGGAGAAGCCAGTCTGGAGATGGAGGCAGAGGAGGGCCCAGGGCTCCATGGCAACTAGGTCAACTGCCTCTGTGGGGTGAAGGCACAGTTTGCAAAGCGAAACTAAAGGACAGGAGATCACAAGACTGCTATAAGCGTGACTAAGGTGTCTGTTGCACATCGCTGGGAACACACCGAGATTCTTGTATTTTATTGTATATCTTGAAATCAGCGATTATGTTTAATTCTGTAAGCAGAATGTTTCCGCTCAAAATAAATCAAGGGTTCACCAAAGGTTCATTCTACCAGGCAGAACTGTACTGTTTATTTACCTATTGTGTTTTGTTGTCATTGTTGTTTGCTTGTTTGTGTTTTGGGACAGAGTCTTTGTATGTAGTCCAAGCTAGCCTGGAACTCATGGCAATCCTCCTGCTTCAGCCTCCTGAGTGCTGGGATCCCAGGCATGCACCATCTTGGCAGGCTGGAATTGGGCTCTCTAAATGGGTGAAAATGATGACATCAGCTATGTTTCAGTAATGATGTTACCAAAAAGGTGGATTGGGAAGGCCTAGGAGAGAGGAGAAATTGACACAATTGTTTTTCTATCACTTCATAGGTCTCTTTCTGAAGAAATGCCCCAGTTGTTCTTCATCTCTAAGTCCTGTAAGTCCAGTTTCCTTGGTCCTCCTGGTGTCCCAGGAGTGAGACCCTGCTGGCACTCACAGCTCCATGGGTTGGACGGAGACGCCTGGTAACTCCGGCGCTAGCCCAGCCTTTTTCCCTGGGTGGGGAGCGACTAGAGCAGAGCAAACCCCCTCTGTAGCCTTGCTCAGCAGTGAGTGCTTAACATCATTGTTCAGCGTGGCCTTCCAGAGCCTGGTGAGGTGGTGCACCCTGTCCTCTCAGCCACCTGGGGGGCTGGGGCAGGAGGATTGGGCACTGTAGGCCAGCCTGGGCCACATGGCAAGACTAGGTCCGACACAGAAAACAAATAAATTGTCCAACAAGTATGGGGTGGCACAGGTCTTAGAAGATCCCACCCCAGTCTACTTTATGTGACAGTGACAGCTGGATGCAGTGGCACATACCAGTAATCCCAGCAAGTAGGAGGCTGAGGCAGGAGGACTATGTTGAGTTTGAGGCCAGACTGAGCTATATAGTTTAAGATCAGCTAGCACTACAAAGGGAGACCCTATGTCAAAGAACCAAAAATGCAGATAGCTAGTCCTGGTGCCATGCCTTGGGCTCAGATTTCTCTGGTCCTTCTGTGGGGCCAGTGACCTGATGCTGGTGTCCCCTGCTGGTAAGGGCCATGGCATCTTGTCATCTCTTCCTCAGGGCAGCTGATAAGATTGGTGTCTGCTGCATGGAGCTGGATGGCTGAGAGCAAGTGGCCCGGGGTTCCTAGCCAGCCAGGGAGGGGGTCAGTCAAGACTAGGAGCACTGGTGGGACAGCTGTGGCAGCCATCCTGGCCCTTTCCCCGGGCCTCTTCTGAGCCAGTGCGCTGACCTCCTATCACTCCTGGCAGCCTGAGGGAATGTCTCTGGATGCAGACCTCTCCTCTTGTTAAATCAGTTGTCCAGTTTAAGGTTCCTAGTGGCCACACTATGCTGTTGGCCCAGAGTCGGGATTGGCGAGATGACCTTTCCCAAAGCTGCTGACTGCAGTTCCCTCCGCCTGTGCCCTGAGACGGAAGCAAGTAGAACCAAGGGCATGCGACCTGGTCTGCTGCTACACTTCGGTCAGCCTTGATCCCTGCTCTTGAGGACAGGGACTTAGAAATAACCCCTCTCCCCCTTTTCCTTTCTGCTCAGCCCCTCAGTGCGTGCTCTGTGGTGCAGAAGGAAGCAGCGACCAGCCCTTGATGTGCACCTTGAGGCCCTGGGAGTGAGATCACTGTGATTTGGCCCTTCATGAACCCCTCTCCTTGCCTGACCCCACAGTGCCCAAGCCAGATCCCATCAGGAGCTTCAGAGGGCTTTGGGGACAGTTTGGCCGTCTTACCTTTTATGGAGTCACCCTTCTCAGCTCCCCCTTGGTCTCGGCCCAGCCAGGGTGAGAAAAAATACAATGCCAGAAAAAACACACCTGAGTTCCGCTGCTTCTTACCTTCTCCTGGCCGTGTGATCGAGCTCATGCTGGACAGGGCACCGGGGGGGGGGGGGGGAGGGACGGCATGGGACACAAGCCCCACCTGTGTTGGTGCCTATAGCCAGGCACATACAAAGTCTCAGCTGCATAACAAATGCAGCTAGGTGTGGTGGCACGTGCCCATAATCCCAGCACTTGGGAGGCTGAGGCAGGAAGACCGCCATGAGTTCAAGGCCAACCTGGGCTATGTAGTAAGACCTTGTCTCAGAAAGCAGTGCAACTGTAATCTCAGCTCTTGGGAGGCTGAGGCAGGAGGATCATTGCAAGATCAAGACCAACCTGGATTGCAAACAGTTCAAAACTACCCTAAACTGCATAGTGAGACCCTGTCTCAAAAAGTAAAAATCAATGCTAACAACGCCAAAGCTGAAAAGCTGGAAAGGAGGTGGATGATTCAGTTGGTGGGAGAGCAAAAGGCTGGAGTCACTTTGTTTTAAGAAATACTCTGAAAATGAAAAAAAAAAAAAAAAAACCGAAATATTCAGTTACTCTATGACCCAGCAGTTCTCTTATTATCTACTTA